CGAGTCACTTTGCTTTTAGTTTTATCGTGAATACACTACCGTGTAAATTATAAATCTTGAGTTAAATTAAATTGAGTTGCTACGTAAACTTAAAAGAATCACCACTCGAACACCCCGTCTAACTGTCGCAATTCACAAGGATTGCACGTTAACATTATATTATAGTTAAAGTTTATAAATATAATTAGTTTATAGCATAACAAAATAATTAATGATAACAAATTAATTTTGTATAATAGAATAAAGTTATAAATTAATACTTTTGCAAGTTTTAATAACTTTATTACAAGTTTTAAATTATAAATAAAGAAACCAATTTAAAACTATAAATTACTTTTTTCTTTAACATTGTCACTCATCTAAAATTTGTTATGATATTCTATACTAATTTATTTTTGAGTTTGTTATTTAAGTTCAACTAAATAAATTTTAATTTCTAAGATATATAAATTGTAGAATTAATAGATATCTGTAAGACAGAGAATCCTAAGTTTGTAAATTCCAATGAGTAGAATTAATTATTACAACACCTTTAATTTAGATATTAAGATAACTGAAAATGAACTGATGATAATAATGGATTATCTGCAAATTAGATTTTATGATTCAAGTATTTTTAAGCCAAAGATAAAATAGGATTGTATATTTTAAAATGAAATTAAAATTTTAATAAAGAAACAATACCTTATTATCACAATAAATTTGATAAGATTTTATATAGATATATATAAAAAGATTTAAAATATGAGCTTCAAAAGAATTAAATTTACCTTTTGGATTAATATTAAATAATATTGCAGGTAGGATCATGAATATATTTACTAAAATTGGTTAATAATTCATTATACATGTATGTATACGAGTAAGAATAGTACTTAAGAAATGAAAACCGCGTAAAGGCCGACTTTTTTAAATCAAAATACTTCTTTTGTATTTTCCCTATTCTTATTTATATATTCCCTTTTCATGACCAGTTTGATGTTGCATAATTCTTGTAAGAGTAGTAATGAATTTGCTTCTAGACATATTATTATTTTTATGGCTACATTGTGAAATTTAAGTAAATAGCATTTTCGGGATAATATTTGATCCAAAAAAAAAATAAACTTTTTATCGCTATAAAGAATTTATTTGATTATGGAGAACCATGCATTAAGCAAGATGCCCAAATATAATTCGCTGGAGGTGATGGGTTTACAAATGTTGGTGGTATGCAAGAAGATCCAACAGATCCTGTTTCATCAATATAGGCATCCCATTGCCTCCTGCAAAATTTTATATATGTTAAGAATGGGAAGATTTTATATTACAAAAAATATAACTATTTATCATACCTAATTGAAACCAAATTGTCTAAATCAAATTCAGCTTGGTGCCAATATTCATAAACAGGATCTCTCTCTCTCTCTCGTTCTTTCATTCCTGCATCCATGGCTTCATTTCTTTTATGTTCGGCAGCAGCATCTCTTTCCTGATTAAGACGAGCTTCTTCAACTTTCATTGCATCATTTAATGACGCAATCCTATTAAAAAATTCATCATCTTCCTCGGGAAAGAAGTGACCTACATATAGACATTTAATTATAGAGTTAATAAATTCTAACGAAAATTATTTCAGACAAAAGGCAAATCGATTGATGACAACCTTCGCGTTTTAATCGTTCTCTGCGAAGATCTCGAAGTTTTTTCACCTTGTCCAAAAGTTTTGTTAATTCTTTATGCTTATTCTTTTTTTCTTCAGCTTCTTCAACTCTCTTTTTTGCTTCTTCTTTTCTTGCTAGTTCCTATAATAAATACAACATATGAAATAAAGCTTATGACATTAACTAATGTTAACTTTTAATACTTACCCGTTTCAGAGCTAACTCTTTAGCTATCCATTCGGTTCGCCATTCGTCAATAGTTTTATGTAATGTTTCTCGCCTACGTTGCCTTTCATCTCGAACAGATTGTAATTTCTTGATATGTTTCACGCGCCATCGCTTTATAATGAATCATAATTAAAAAATTATGAAATTTAAGAAAAATTAATCCTTTTGTGCACACACCTTATGACGCCTAATTTTAGATATTTTCAATTTAACTTTTTCAATAAATTGTTGATCTATAGAAGACAAATTCGATTCTAATGTTTTCTAATAAAAAAAAGCCAGTTACATTGTATAAAATAAAGTAAATGATAATTAATGTAAAAAATGCATTATACGTAAAATTATAACCTTGACATTTTCAAGACTTTCTATTTTAACTTTCCATTCATCTTCATTCGCAGAATCTCGAATTTCTTTTAAATAATTCAATTTGGATCTCAAATCTTGTAACAAATTATGAGTTTGCAGAATTCGTTCACGCGTATTTGTTATATTAGGAACAGAAGCTTCGAGCTTTATGTTACGCGTTTTGATCCATGACTTGAACCAAACTTGTTCAGAATTGGTTTTCTCTACAGACATAAGATAAAATATTTTTAATGGTAGGAAATTTTTTGATTGGCAATAAAAATTTTAAAAAATTAAACAATTTTAGTATTTTATTTATAAATTTATATTTATACACTTTTTTTTTGGGAAGAAAAAGTTTTTATTGAATAATGATGGAATAATACAAAATGAATTGGTCAACCAATACATTTAGCATCCTAACAAAGAAATATACAAAGGAATATAAAAAATGATAAATGACAGAATATAAAATAATAATATTGCAGAATAAAAAAGCATCAGATGAATAAAGAAATAAAGTTCTTTTGGTTTCTAATATCAAAAATATCAAATAAATCAAATACACCACTAAAAAAAAAAAAAAAATTGTATAATAAAGAATATTGTTCAATCAAATGATTTTAACATAATAATAAAAAAATTATTGGAATCCAAATCCCGTTGTTCCTTCAGAGATTGCCAATAATAATTGTGCTCTTAACTGCTCATAATTGTCATATTCAGGTATATCTATTTGATTGAAACTATTAAAAGATAAAAATGTATAATTAATATAAATGATTCAAGGCATAATAAAATATCCACATGATTATTAACGAACTTACCAAGTATGAGCAGATGGCAAACGATCTGGACTGGCAAAATCTTTATGAATTTGGAACTTTTGAACACCATGGACACCTTGAAGGGCAGAGAAACCTTCCAATGGTACCTTTGAAGTTCCCGTAACGAATTGTAAAAGTTTCGCTCTCTCTTCTTGATCAAAACTTCGTACAGCTCTCCAAAACCATTGTATTTGTGGAGATGAAGGTGTATAATTTTGATATTCTGTATTATTTTTCCAATCATCAATATCAATATCTGGCATGCCCGAAATCAACAATTCTAACTCTTGTTCATTGAATATGCTAATTAAATGTGCTGGAATAATTTCATGGAAACCAGCAAGGAAGTTCTCAATTTGATCCTTGATAGCTAATGTAAGTTTCTGTTCCGTTACAAGCATAACGTATTCTCGTTTATTCTCTTCTGTAACTGAGATATTTCTACCATCTTGTTTCAAATCAATAATCTTCTTTTGACCAAAATCATCGGTTTCGACGCTAAACGTCAGATCAACTACTCCAGTAATATCATTATTCAACATCCAGACTAAACTGTTATAATACTCTAAATCTATGGCTTCAACATCACGATAATCAACAGCTTTTCCAAGAATATGTTTGTAGAAAGAACGTGTAAAATATGCATCTAATAGCCTTCCATCATAAATAGCTTTGCCAATGACACGTCCAACAAATTTAAAGAATAATAAATGTTCTGGGTTTGCACCTGAAGCTCTATTTGGTTGATAAGTAAGTCTATCTGCGGCTGATGTTTTGAATAATGCATAGTTTTCGTTAAACATTTGCCTTGCAAGAACTTGGAACCACTCTCTCGTTACACCACCAGCATCAACACCTTCCTCTTCATAGAACCGTACGCTAAGTTTGCCATACTTGATTTCATCTCCAGTTCTTCTTTGTAAGTTTTGGAAAGAATCCTCAAATACATATTGACGTCTAACATTAAGTTGTAAAGAACCATAATGTTCCCGTGCATTAGTTCGTTTATGAAGTTGTTGGTTGAAATAATTCCTCTTGTTGTCAAATTCAAGGATCTTTGGATTATGAACCAATAAAGAGAATGATCCACTCATTAATGATGGATTGTTCCTAACCATTGTATTAAGAATCTTACGATGATCTTCCGTAAATGTAAAGAATAGATCTTCCATGCTTTCAGGAGGATAATTATACGGTCCTGGTGAGGATATTCTCTGGCTTGTTGATGCTGTCATACCAACGTATTTGCACACAACCATCAAAGACTCTATAAGTGGTAAAAGAACAGTTGCCACATGAATCATATCTGGTTTTTCATGTATGGTGGTCAAACATTTTCCTAATCTCTTCCATAATTCAGTGAAGTTGAGAGTCTCATATATTTTCATAACTTTGGCTTCATCATCAGTCAATTTAGCATTTCGAGTGCTACTATCTAGTAATGTCCGTGGTGCGACTGATTCTATTTCATCAGGATCGATGGTAGGAGCCAACGAAACTACTTGTGCACTTGATGAAGTTGTATTTGATTGTTGTTTACGAGAATACATATAATCAATAGTCTTGAGAACACGTAATAATTTGGCTTGTTTGGAAGATGAAGGTGAAAATTTGGATAGAGTGACTCCTTGCACATCCACGCCAGTATTCGCATTATCTAAAATCTTTGCCAATTCATCAAGATCGTCCAATATATCGTTTCCAAGTAACTGAGCACGTTCGACTAATTCTGACGTTATTACATCACGGGCTCCACTTAACGTAGAAAGATGTTGAATAACTGAAAGCGTATATTTGAAAGTATTACTTGTACATTCACCGGCAGTCAAGACATTCACTACTAAACGTAAACAATAGTCAGGTATAACAGGTGGCTTGAGTGCAGGGGGTTTTTCTGATCCTGATTGCTTTGATGAAGAAGCTGTCGCATTATCTTGAGTCGTTTCATTTCCGGGTGTATTAATATTGTCATTATTGTCACTAATGTCATTTGTCTCTATAATAACGTTGCTACTTTGATCATTAGGAGCATTCGAAGATTGATTGACATTATTGGAGCTTTGTTCAATATCGGACTGTTGTTGTAGTTGAATAGACTGTCCAATTAAATTATTATTTTGATTATTTTCAGTTTCGGGATTTTGATTGGAATTACTTTCATTATTGTTGTTGCCTTGTGTTGAAGAACCGTCTTCATTTGCTTTATCAGGTGACGCCGATGATTCCGATTTTGATAAAGATGATAAAGGTCGTAAAACGAATGATAATAAGTGCATTAATTGATCCATTAATGTTGTATTTTTGATAAAGACTTGTCGATCTAAAAGACTAAGTAGTATCACAACAGGATATTTGCTTACAACGGATTTTGCTTGTTTTTCTTTGCCCTTACGACTATTTGATCTTTTAAGTCCAATGTTATTTTCATGTTCCATTAAGAAATACGTAACTGATGCCTCATTATAGGTTACAATATATGTCAAAGCTTCTAAACATCTCTGAGCGATCAAATTAGGAACATTTTCTCCAGCTGCTTGAGTTATTTGAGCAAGGGAAGGATTTGGTGCACTTGACTGCCTTCTTGGTGTACCTTTAGAATTGCTTTTTGTACGTAAAGACATTTGGGCAAAGCTCTTATCAACAGCAGCTACATCCCCACTTCCATCATAAAGGACTGAAAGTAACATCGAAATCAACTCGCCACGAGTTTTACTATTTTCACAAAGATTAAGCAATAGTTTATGAAGTAAGTTCTTATTACCCAAAGGTTGCGGTAAGAATAATAATCTAATCAATGTGGCTAATCCTGAAGTATCAACTAGTTTCATTGCATCACGTTGAATAGTAGGTTTCTTAGGAGTTGGTACGGCTGGGGTAGTACTAGCAATGGTTCTTGAACGTACTGCATTTGTATATCTCCTACTTGCTCTTTCTCGCAAAGCATTTGCCTCTGCAACAATTGCTGGAGGTAATGAAGCCAAAACCATCTCATCTTGCTCAAGTAGGACAGTTCGTCTTAATTGAGGATCCAATGAAGCAAAGAAACTTGCAGTATCCATGTCAGCGGCAACAGGTTCAACATTTCGTTGACGTTCTCTTCTTTCTTGTTCAAGAGCTGCTGCTTCTTGTTGAAGAATTTCTTCTCGTAAATCATCAGGTAAGGCTTCCAAAAATTCATTACTAATAGCATCTCCTGCACCGCTTACTGGAGGTCTGTTTCTTCTCTCCGGAGGTAAATGTTGGTTTATAACTTCTTCACGTAATTCGTCAGGAAGCGCTTCAAGGAAAGTTGGGTCAATTCCAGTATCTGTAATATCTATAGTTTGACCGTTGACCACTACAGTCGTCCTTGCAACTTGAGTTTCATTCGAACCTTCAGTCGTTCCTTCAACCGCTGCTTGAGAGGTTTGTGTAATAGTAGTAGTACCTTCTATGGTAGTCGGTTCCTCCTCCATGGCTGGATTATTATCAGAAGTTGCAAGTGAAATTTCAGGCGCCGGAGATGGTTCAGCATCCATAGCATCAGGATCTTCTTCAGTTCTGGTTTCAGGGGCATCTTCTTGCATGGCATCTCCAAGTTCAATAATTTCAGTTGTTTCAGTTACTTCAATAACTTCTTCAGGTTCTGTGGTACCTTCAGCCATTGATTGATCAACTGTTACATTTTGTGAACCTTCAACTCGAGCAGCGGCTTCAGCTTCTAAACCTTCAACCCTAGCTTTTGTTGTGACTTCTAATTCTTGTCTTTCTTCTTCTGCTTTTCTTCGATTTTCTTCTTCACGGACTCTTCTTTCTTCGCGTTCTCTCTCTTCTTTCTCTTTTTTCTTTTTATCTTCTTCCAATGCAAGGGGAATTAATCCGTTTAATATATGATTAACTAGTTTTGTAGCCTTTTCAGATACAGAATTACCGTACATCATTCGAGCTTCGTCATACCATCTTTGTCCAGTCGACACTGGCATAAATTCTTGAACTGCGGTAATTGGATCACTCGGAGAGGTAACATTTTGATTATCTTGAGCGTTTGTTATTGATCTAGGAATTATTCGGTCAACTTCGATACCACTAATTAAACTTCCCGAACCTGTATTTAATTCAAGTCTGTAAGTGGAATGTCCTAAACCACGACTTCTAGTTAACAATTGTTCTATTAATTGAGCAGCACCACCACCTATCAGTTCTTCAATGGACTGTGTCCAGTCACTTAATGGTCCATTTCGGACATTTCTGCCTCTTACAAATTCTACTCCACTCGTTCCAGAGATATTAGGAAGGTTCGATGTTCTGTTAACAAGTAATGGATGTGTAGTAACATCATCGCTAGCGCCGGGCATTGGTCTATTTCTGCCGATACCGGGAATATCAACTTCATCATTTGTGCCAAAATTAAATCCATAACCAACAGAATCACCTATTACATAGTCGAGACCTTCCGGTGGAACTTCTAAAATAGCACGACGACCACCGGGAATATGTCGATGACGTCTATTACCAAAGCTAAATAAGGCGCGACTTGGACGGCCTGGAATAAAATCGTCATCATTCATAAAGAGTGAACCGGGTTGATTCCATCCCCAATTAAAATTGAGACGATCCACATATCCATCGTGAATTTCACCACTATCTAATACCACATCATTTTCTTCAACGTCATCGGCTTCATCATCGTCATCGTCATCGTCATCGTCTTCTTCATCGTCTTCTTCATCGTCCACTAACATTATATCTCTCTCATTCCCTTCATCACCACCAAATCCTCCATGTCTACGATGTCGATGATGATGTCCTTCAGCATCATCAATGGCTTCTTCGACAATATCACCCCGGTCTATAATAACTTGATCGTGAACATCCCACATTTCTTGATCAGCTCCATCTTGACGAATACGAACAGGGTGATCATCGTCTGAATCATCATCATGCTCTAAATGTTGAGCTAGATTGTTATCTTCATTTTCGGAGTCATTATTATCGTTTTGATTATCTAACATTGTTGAATGACCATGCAATGGTTGCCGAACGACTATTTCTACGTCCATATCGTCTCCATCACCGCCACCACTTCCGTTTAAGTCATTATCATCACTAACGTCACTAACATCACTACCGGTCTCTTCGTCATATTCGTCATCATTATATACTTGTTCATCCGAAGTGCTAATCTCCTCATCCTCCATTTCATCACTTTCCATTCTACCTTCAAGAGCACCGAGTACAGAAGTTGCATACAAATCAGGTGCATCTTGTGTGATTTCATCAGCTGAAGGAGTCGAGATGGAAGAAATACTTTTACGACGTTCTTGTTCTTCTTTAGAAGGTTCAGGCGCACGACCCAACTTTATGGCTATTTTTGTTAAAAATTCGAATGGTTTCAATAAAGCACTTATCAAAATCCTTGCTGATGGATAATTTAAATCTACTTCTGAAAGAGCTTCAGTTAAAGTGTTCACAAAATTTTTATCAAGCATTAACTTAGCAACACTAGCAGGTCCATCATCGATAGGTCTGTTTGCATTATTACTTGGATTTGTACGTGCGGTTAGGATTGCATAACATAATTCAGCCAAAGCCAAAAGCCTTCCATATTTTGTTTCAATAGGATCAGATGATGAAATGGCATACTTAAATGAACGAATTATACCATCCAAAACAAATTTACGAACTTGTACCAATTCATGTTGAACTTTCTTTTCATCAACATCATTACTGATATTTGAACATAAAGCAACTATGACAGAAGTCGTCCATTTAGATTGTCCATAACGCTTACGCATTTCGATATCGGTCGAGGATGTAATACATCCATATGGTAATAAATCGTTTAAAAGATAACTTAATAAAGGAGTTTTTGTTTTAAACGGAGTACCGGGACCAACGCTGTTCCTTCTACGGGAGAGATTTATGACTTCAGTTTTACATGATGGATATGAAGAGAGTAATTCTGTCAAGCATTGAAGCAAGAAACAACGACATAAATAATCCAAATGTTCTTCAGGTTTAAAGGGTGGTTGATTAGGTCCCATAATATTAATAGCATTGTTAGTATTGTTAGTAATGATGGCATCGTTATTATTTGTAATAACGGAATTAACAAACTCGGTATTCTTTTGTTGTTCATGTGTAGTATCAGTTGGCTTTGATTCTTGAAGTGCAGTAGTTTGAATATTACGTATAGAAATCAATTCATTTGCTATGAAATGAATTAAATTTTCTGCAACTTCGGATCCAAAAGATAATTTTTTAGGCGATTCAAATGTTGATGTTGAAGGTACTGCATCCGTCATTTCTTCTTCATTAACGGTATTATCCTTATTCGTTGTATTACTAGTATCCTCAGGTTCTTGTTTAATCAAGGTTATTTGATGCTGACTACTTCTACCAGGTTCATACCTTGTTAATTTACAAAGTTTCTTTGTGGATTGAACAAATAGTTCAGGATTTCGCAATGCAAACTGCGCAGTATTTCGAAGGTAACCATTGATATCAATCACCCGAGGTCGATGATTTGTAAACCAGTTTTTGATTTCTCTTTCCATAATAGATTCTAACACAAAAACATCCTCTATTACATGTCGCAATATCATAACAATGAATATTTGTTGTCCACGAAAATCATGAGCTCGTGGTTTGAAAGCATTAAAAAGTAATGATAATCCGTCCTTATTAACAAATTCGGTTGCATCAAGATGACGTCGAGTTAATCGCACCAAGATTCGAAGTAATGAATTAACAATATCTTTGTCAAGATCTTTACGTTTCATGAATGTTAAACAGTATTCAAGTAAATTTGAACGATGTTTATCTGTTGGTGAAGAATTATTTTCCGTGGCAATCGCTTCTGATTCTTCAAGTTTAGATTGTAACAGATTTAATTCTACACTTGTTGGTTCATCTGATAAAGATATAAAAGATTCTATAACTAACAAAGCTGGTGCTAACCATTTAGGTAAACTACTTTCAGAAGGTTGCGAGGATTGTTCAGCAATCATGGATAACATTTCTGAAAATATATTGAATGGTAAATGAGAGATTTTTCCTTGAATACTCGTTTCGTTTAGTAACATAGCCAATAAACGTAATCGTGAGCTTAAAGCTTTTTTGCGTAGTTCTTCAGATTGTCCGCGAGCATGCTCAACACTTTTTATTACCAATTCAATAGTTTTCTCAACATTATCTTTGCTTAGAAGGACAAATAAATCTTTTACTTCAAAAATAACTTCTTCAACATGATCCAATAATTCAATAGCTCTATTAGCTGCATTTGCTTTTAGTTCTTCTCTAAGAGATTTAAATTGATCTACAGAAGCGACTTCTTTTCCTTTACCTTTGTCGCTTTTCTTTGAAGTAGTAGGTTCTGTTTCCATAGGAACAGTTGTCTCACTAGTGTTAGATCGTTCCGCAGTTTGACCATCTTGCATTGATAATGCCAACGCCTGAGCTAAAACATCTGCATGTTCCATATTACCTTCATCATTATCAGATATTTCTTCGTCGTCATCGCCAGAAACTCCAGTAATATCAAAATTTGAACCAGTGATGGTATTTGTTTCAGCTGGTGCATTACCAACAGTAGTAGCTGTATTGTTTGTTGAATCACGACCAGTTTCGACCGTTTGAGCTTCGGAAAATATTGTAGCTGCTATTGTGTGTGGATGAGTCAATAAATATTCTGCAGCCGTTTCGACATGATTATTACATCTTATAAGCGCTGTTTCTGCGTTAGAACGTTGGAATCCCATATCAATTAACTGCTGAACTCTGTCTTCATCTGGAATAAGACTTCTTCCAAACAATGAAGATGGAGCTGATAAATTACTAGATCCTTCTGGTCGTTGATTCACTTCTCCTTCAGCTTTTAAAATTTGAACTAAATTTTGTACAACAGATCTTAAAATATTTGGTGGAGCTTTCGTCAAATAAGAACTTAACCAAAGTTCATGAATTACAGGAAGGATTTTTGCTCGAACATTCACGAGAAATTCGAAGGGATCGAAACGAGGCTCACGATCTTTTGATGATATGGAAGTTGTTTGAGCTGAATCGTGTAGAAATTTAGATGAAGCCACAAATTGAAAGAAATTAAGTGTAACTTCGATGCATCCGTGAATTCTTGTAAGCTTGTTTTTTGATTTGTCATCTGCTTCAATAGTCGAATACTCTTCAAAAGCTTTAATAGCCTCTGCTTCTTCCCAGAACTGTCGTAAGAGTGTGAATACACATTCCAACCCATCAGCTTTATCAACAAACGAGAGAACTAGCATTGTCTGAAGAGATATTTGATTTCGTTCTAAATATAACAATGCAAATCAAATATATGAACATTTTTAATAGCAAAATATTCATATAATTAAGAAAACAATAACCAACCATCAAGAAATAGTAATGATAGAAGTCCAAGCATGACGGTGAGGTAATTGTACTTATTTGTAGAATCAGTTTCGCTATCAAGGGCTAAAGAAAATTTCAATGGATATCAGTAAAAAAAAATTATATTTTAAAAAATCAAATAAATAATAAATAAAATATTTACAATAACGAGACCAGGTTAAATGATCACGAAGGACCTCAGCAATAGAGTTGGATACTTTGAAAGCCAATGCTTTTTGGCTCGCATCTGGTTGTTTGCGTGTGAAAAGCATTTTGGCCAAACCTAAAATCACAAGATAATTTATAATATTGAATTTATTGAATATACCGTTTTCAACTTTATTTTACAACAACACATACCTTGAAATAATGGAGTCAAACAAGAAGGAATTTGAGACACCAAAAATTTAAAATATTTTGCGTTTTTTACTTGACGATTATTCTGGTCAACGGGAGGTTCATTTGCATCAGTTATATCTTTGTCACTTTCGTCCAATAATGCCGAAATCGCTGAAATTTCAGGAAGACTAAACGGTTTTTTTGGTTTTGATTGTGATGCATACCATGACTTTGGTACAGATGATTTTAAGATAACATTCTCCCAAACACACGTTCTAAACATAGAATTTTAATTTAACAATCGTTACAAATAGTAATAAATACTTTTGGTATAGAGAAAAGAAAAAACAAACCGATGCAATTTTCCTAGTGAAGGTATTACTTCGCTGTCGCTTCCAACGAAAGCTTCAATTACAGATGACGCATTTTTCCCGTGAGAGAAAACTGGTGTGCAATAGACATCAGAAAGTAGTCCAATATAACCGTGTAAAGTTATTAATGATCTGAAGGTTTTGTTGGCTTCTTCAACTTTAGCAGCATCGTTTGCTTTTTAATTTTATTTTAAAAAAATTAATCCAATCAGATTAAGAACGTTAAAAAGCTTTAACAAAAAAAAAATTGATAAATACTTCTGAGATCAATGTAATCAGCGAGAAGACCACCCTTTCCGTCATGATTTAGGAAATTTGTTGCTCCTTGGAATGCTTCGTTAAGTGCACTAATAATTGCTGTAACACTTCTCTTTGAATCAACAACAGCAATCACTCTCATTAAATGAGAGAGAGAATATGAGGCTTGCGAACTTGCAAAATCATATGGGACTGTTGGTAATGCGTAGAATTTAAGAATAATATTTAACCCGTTTTCTTGTCTGAGAAAATCTTTGCAATGGTTTGGAGTTTGGAAAAGACCTTCCAAAAACTATCATGAAAAAGGACATAAGCATTAGATTGCGTTACGAACATTATATTTATATAATATGAACATACCTTTGCAGCAATTTCAATAAACGAAACAATAATATTCTCTTTTTTCTCTTCAGGTTTAACAGAATCAACATCACACATAGTAATATCGGTTGACTCAGATTCCACTCGTTTTTCTGGTTGAACGGGATCATCATCCGTTCCAGAATGTAATATATTAGTATCATCATTAACCATAGTGGAATCACTCCGTCCAAGTTCTAATATACGCTGAAGTGTAGTCATTATTGCATTCATGATATTTGGTTTCAAACTTGGATGATGTCTCATCAATTCATCAATATTTGTACCCAACACTGACGCAACGTCGCCATCTTGAAGAGAACGCAAATGTTCAGTTGATGTAAAAATTGAAAAAAATTTGTCTATCGGATTCATCTGAGTAAAAATTTCCATTCCTTGTGAATTCAAGCATATAGCACCGAATGCGTTAGGAATAGATTGAATTACCTGAATAAAATAAACATTAACAATTAATATCATATATTATAAGATAAAAAATGAAAATGAAAATAATTATCTTAATATCTCACATCCACTGAAGCAGGAATTTCTTTTACGATAGACTTTAAAAAAGTTTGTGGAAGCTTAGCCTCTTGCATAATTGGAAGTGAAGTCGGTTCATTGTGAATAAAAGTTGCAATAATATTGATTGCTAGATAAATTTAAAAATAAATATTAAATATCTCAACATTATATATAAGAGCGATTGATAAAAGATTTTACTGAAATCTACCAAGTGCAAATATACTGCTTCCGAATACTTTAGGTTGTTCAAAGACCTTTTTAATTGAATCTGGAAGAGATGTGTCGATGAGATTTCGCAATCCATCAGCAGTACCAGCTGATTGCATCATATGTAAAACAAATTTAAACATAGACTTCAATAAAGAAGATTTTTCATAAGGAAGAGTAATTTCGGTGATTGCAGGTTCAGTAACTACATTATTCGATTAATAATGCAATTAGTAAATATGATTTTATCAAATATTGAAAGGAAGAATAACAACTATAATGCTAAACCTGGTGGATTCGCTGAGGTTGAAGACCCTGCAATCGTTACATCTTCCATAAAGTCTCCTTGATTGTCACCTAATAACTGGATACCAAAACCAACTTCTTCCTATAAAGAGGAATATTAGTGAGAAAATGTTATAAAAACTATCAACTAATATGAATTTAGATATCTAACATACATTTATCCTTTGTACCAATATACGAACTCCATTAGCGTTACAGAATGAGGTAAATGAAGGGTTGAATCCATACACAAGGCTGTCCAATATACTGACAACTTTTGTTATATTCTAAAATAAACACATTAAATTTAGAATACAATATGCAAGAAAATCCAAAGAACGCATATAAAGTTTACCTTTGATTGCTGTGGATTTTTATTGTTTAACAATTGTAACAAGGTCGGAACTATTCCTGCTGAAATCAACATAGTTCCACCGGTTTGTGAAGTGATAAAATAGGAAATTAAAGCAAATACCGCGTCATAATATTCTTGATTGAAAATAGCTAAAAACAAAAGAAATAAATAAATAAACCAATATTAATCAATATGTCTTTTTTAAAGATAACGGCTTAAAATTTTCAATTTGTCAATTTAAGATTACATACGATTTTCGCTATCCAGATCGGCAATTACTCTCCGCAACACGTAAAGCAAAATACCGTGATTAGCTGCCGCATTAATGGCGGATAATACTTCACCAAGTTTTGAACGATATCGACTGATTCCATCCAATGCATAAAATGCAACTGTTTGGATTTCCTAATAATAAAATCATAAAGATCAATCGATTGAAATCACCTAGAAACGAAAGAATAATCTAAAAAAAACACATATATTCATCACTCAATAAACTTACGATTGGTATATTTCTATCTGGATGAACAAACTCGGCAAGATTTGCAACGATATCAGGTTCGTATAAAAATAATTTGGATTGGGCAATATGTTCGGGGATGACATGAGCTAATTAAAACAAAAAGATAATTCGTTTATATTAAGATTTAATGGATAGAACATATTAAATTAATATCATACCCATAATAGCAATAGCAAGTGTTCTTATTATTAAGAATTTTCGTCGAGATTCGGTTGACGTAATACTGGTAACAATTCGAATTCGATTTAAAAGAGCATAGTGAAATTCTTCGGGAATATTATATTCTTCAATAACATTGTTTAAAATGTCCATATCAGTCTTTCCAAACTGATGGATGTTATTAATTGAAATCAAAGCAACACCTTCTCCAGCTTTAGCTCCGCCAATACTTGAAGCACTATCTTTCCTTTTTCCTTTTTGAGGTGTGGAGGTAGCAGTCCCAGCAGTTTCATTTTTCTTTTCACCTGTGGTTTCAGCAGCTTCTGATGGTGTTAAACGCCGATAAAATTGATAATTTAAGGTTGTCAATTCTTCTGGGATTTTAACTTCTTCGGACGCAAGCTGCGCCATTTCGATATCATATTCTTTTGTGCCCCAACTATGGACCAAAGTTAAAATACGTTCTTGAGAAATGGTAAAATTGGTACGAAGAGCACGTTGATTACTGAGACGTTGTGCAGGTCGGAGTATCAAACGCAACAACACCTCCAAAACACCTAAATCACTTGTATACAACAAGTCATTGAGATGCTACAGAATAAATATTTAATAAATTAGTATCACTTTAATTTTTTTTGTGATAATTAAGGGTGGATAAATAACAAACCTCGTATGAACTGTATAAGTTTCTGTTTGTGCAATTTTCCAGTAACATTCGAGAAAATTTTAATATAGCCAATAAAACGCTTCGCGTTTCCTCATTGAAGTTTTCTGCCTGCAATTTTTTAAGTTTATAACTTTGACAAATATTCTCAAGAATGCTATCGAAGCGGTTCAATACAGTAATCCAGTGAAAGAGATCTCCTCTTGAATAACTCCATTCTTTAATAGAATCCACTATGACTGGTATTTCCTCTTCGCGACATTCACTGAGCTTTTGAATAAGACTTTTGATTGGCGGTATCTATTAATAAAGAAAAAACAAAAAAACATTATTTTTTAAAATATTGTTAATTTTTTATTTCACAAAAAAAATTTATAACGATAAGAATAAAGTTTTAACGATTTGATCTGTCTTTTCCTATTTTTGACGAGTTAATAAACACAGTCACCTAAAATAATTGCAAATTTGACACTACACTATACTCAACCGCCTTGAATTTTTTTCCCTATTTTTTTTTTTTTTTTTTTTTTTTTTTTTTTTTTACCGTTGTCGCACTAACGGTAAAAGAAACGGTCCATAGAACATTCAAAACTTGCAAGAGAAAAAAAAGTTACTTACGGGTGCCGCTAATTTCTTTGGTGGGGTTTTCTTGATTTTCATTATTGTTGCTTGATCTAAACAAGCTTATTTAATAAAGAGTAGTATTTAAAAAAACTTTACAAGTGTCGTCAAAACTGTTTGGCACGCGTGTTTGTGTTAAATCAATTTAAGATAAAGGTGAAGAAGCAGTTTCCTCAACCCTCAGAAAGACAAACGACTACGAGCTTAGTAAGAGATAAAAAAGCAAGCGTTGGTAGGTTGTTCATATAAGGCAAGTTAGGGTGATATCATAGTAACATACGTAACCGTTTGTGACAACAATAGCAAAATCTTGTTAATAAATCAAATGATTTATTTGGGTTATTTCATTCCGGAATGATTTGATGTTGAAATCCGATAACGTATGTCTGCGGAAATAGAATATATCAGTAAGTAATTTTAGGATATTTAACTTTAGTAGGCTTTCCCTTGGCTTCTGACTTAAAGAGTCGCCAAGAATAAACATGCGCAGCAAACAATTTCAGGGGTTGATTTTAAACAGTTACACGATATTGAAATTAAACATTTCTCTCAATAAATCATAATAAAAAACTCTTTAGATGCCAAACCCGTTTTTCTCTTATCGCGGTTTAAATTATTCAAAACATTAATAACATGTGCTAGTAAGACAAATTATTACTAGTAATATTATTTAAAGATTTATCTATTTTTTAAGAATTATAGAAATTTCATAAATTCATATATTATATTAATATTTATCAGAAAATAAATATTTTTTATTTTTTTATTAAGTAATAAATAAAAAACCTTTTTATGGAAAATTATATAATAATTATATATTAATGTAATCAATTCAAATTTTAATTAAGTTTTCTGAATTTTATTATATATATATATAATTAAATAAATAAAACAATTAAATTGGAATTATTTAAATTGAATTTTTCAAATAAAATTACTGAAGTTAAAAATACATTAATATATTATTTAATAATTAATAATTATATAATATTAAACTACTTAATTTTTTATTTTAAAAATCAAATTAATTTTATTAATAATTAAATAATAAAATAGTAAATAGATTATATATAAAACTAATTATTTTTATTAATTTCTATTTTTTTAATATAAAAATATTAAGATAAAATATAGTTAACAATCCTGTCATTATGTTAATCCTTTAAGATCATATATATATATATATATTTATTATATATATTTAGTTTACCTAGTATTATATATCATAAATCACAATATATCATATATGTAGAGAAAAAAGCTTGAATAAAATTTTAAATTAAAAGCGTAAATAAAATATAATAGTGCAAAAAAATTTTTTAATAATAATAGGTATATGCTTATATATTTTAATTAATCAAAAAATAACTTATATTTTTACTATTGATAAACTTGTTATTATTATATTATTATTGAAGGTAATTATAAGTAATTCTTTAAACTAATTAGTTTAAAGAATCACTGGAAACTTGAATTAGATTATAACAGTAATGTCATAATCTAATAGTAATGCTGTAATCTAATAAAGATATCATAATCTAGTAGTAACATTATAATCTAATAGAGATGTTATAATCTATTAGTAATATTATAGTCTAATGATATAATCTAATAATATTATTATAATATGATGTCATAATTTAATTTTATTCTTTAGGATATCTTTTTGGATTTTTAACTATGTTTTAATTTTTCCTACATATTATTATAATAATTTTATAATTTAATAGTAATTAGTAATACTTTAATCTAATAGTGATATTATAATCTATTGATAATTATTTTCTTCTTATTTTTAATTTATTTACTTACTGAGATTTTTATTGTGAATATTGATATAGTCAGTTCTTTAAGATGCTTATGGATAATAAGTGAAGTAATATATGTGGGTGGTAAGCAGAAGGTTTAATTTAATATTTAGATTTAGAAGAGTGTCAGTAAATTAACAGTTTATTTAATAATTATAACAATGGAGTACTGCCTCAGTCAGCGCTCTGTACTATACAATTATGTTAGAGGGATTAAACTAAACTATTATATAAAACTATGAGTCAGACACACTGCTAAGCTAAAAGAAATTGTCCTTTATTTATATAAAATAGAAAATATAAAGTTACTGAAGATATAAAAGAAATAAATATAATAAATAAAATATATGAAATAAGTAAAATATAATAGA